TTATTTAAATATGTTTTTAGTTTTAATATGGGTTTTGAATGTTTGAAGAAATATTTTGAAAACAAATCCTACACGAAATTCAAACAAACATGTTTGAACAATTTTTAAATACAACGAATAGTAAAATTACTCCATTTAAGAGTGTTAAAGATATTAACAATATAAATGTGTTGTTTAACACTTTGAAGTATAAAATAAAACTTAAGTTACATATCTCTATGATAAACTTAAAAGATCTATTGGAAAACATTTAGATCAGAGCTTTGCAAATTTTATTGAACTTTTTTGCCAATACTGTTGCATGTAACAATAGATTAAACTACATCTTTGCTAAAACTTATATACATACATCTAAAAATTCAGACTTACACACAGTGTTCATTTGATTTGTTTTATGGCTTTTTAAAATCAGAAATATTACATAAGGCCATTATATATAAATAATCCATCTAATCCAGACGGTCTATGAATGAGTACAGAGCAGAAGTGATTCTTAATTTGTGATCCGTTTACCCTTTTAGCAATTTAGTAAGGTGTATGTTTAGTTTCATGTTGATATCTCCAATTTGATAAAAAAAATGTAAAAATTAAAATTTAGATTCTCATTTATTCGTGACTCTTCAATTTTAAATTCTATATTTGTAGACTTAAAATTAAAAAAAAAGGTGGAATAAATTCTACGTTTGCGAAAGTACAACGATGTAATCTATACTTTTTCTCTTTTAGAAACAGTCTTCTTCGAGGATTAAATTTTTAAAATATTCACTAATAAAACTCTGTTCTATTTTTTTATCCCTAAATTCCAATCCTCCTAAGTACATTTATTTGATAAACAAGTAGTATATGTATATATAAACAATTGCATAACTCTACATTCAGTCGTTTAGGCTGTATCAGTACTGCCTTTGAAGGATCGATGACATACTAATATTAAAGCGTTTCCATAATGCAAGGAAATGTTAAGAATCCCTGCAAAAGAGCATAAATAATTTACAGATGTGCATGCTATTGTAGTTTAAATGTGTTTTCTCTTTTGTTTTACTATTGTAGACTAAAGTTTAAATATTTATTGCATTTCAGTTATGTTTTTTATTTTTGTTATAATTGTTGTTTAAAATTCGGTAATAATTACTTAGACATAAAAAAAATTCGTTAACACAAATTTAAGTACACACACACAGTAAAGTACTGGCATTTATAACATATCGATGCAAAGTTGATACTACATAACTAACAAATATTTTTGAAATATAAAATATAAAAATCTTTCGTTTTCAGGATTTTAGATAAATATATAAGCATTACTATCTCATGTAAAAAATATATTAGTTACTTAGCGTTAACATTTTACCATCTAAGCATATACATACATATATGATTTGTTTTTTTTAAATCTTATAAATAAAAGTACATATTAAAAATTATATTGCTAATATAAAAGAAAAACAAAACATTAATGATTAATTAGTTTGTCAGTTAAGTAGTGCATTTCATATTTATCTAGACAAACTTTTTATTTAATTATTTAACCAATTTTTGTTGTTGTTTCTTCTTGTGCCTTTAATGCAATTTAGGTAATCATGGCATTTTTTTATTGTTATTATTTTTCGTTTTTAAAATTGTTACATTTTTTTATTGTATTTTGGTTTTGAAATAAACAAGACCTTGGTTATAAAAACAGCAATAAAAAAGACGGAGATAATTACAGTTTAACTTCACTTAGTGACTCAATTTTGTCGTCGAGCTGTTGTTTTTCATAAAAATCTTTAACCTAAATTTAATTTTGATTTTATGTTTTTTTTTTTTTTTGCAAGTTGAAACGAGACTTTATTGTCACTGTGTTATAGATTTCTAATGCCATTATTTCCCACACAAAGCTCAAACATAACATCTATCCATTGGCTTTATGTCTATAATAGTTACAGTTTTATATTCTTATTGGTTCGTTTTCAAAATCGTGTCCATCTTGTCACAATATTGTGGTCAAAACGCAACTTAAATCTTTAATTTTCTAAAATGTTTGCACAAGCCTTTAGGCTAATTTGTTCAATAGAGTCATTTTAATAGACATTATTGCTTTATTTAGCACAGAATCATTTTGGATATTGGGAAGCGTAAAACAAAGTAATTAATTCCCAGCTTAAACTTGGTAATGCTTTCAGTGGTATTCACTTACCTAATAACATACTTTTCAATATCTACTACATATTGTGTGATGCATAGAAGTTGTCTAATAAGGGCTTAAAATTCTGAAATATATATATAGATAGATAGATAGATAGCTAGATAGATAGATAGATAGATAGATAGATAGATAGATAGATAGATAGATAGATAGATAGATAGATAGATAGATAGATAGATAGATAGATAGATAGATAGATAGATAGTAGATAGATAGATAGATAGATAGATAGATAGATAGATAGATAGATAGATAGATAGATAGATAGATAGATAGATAGATAGATAGATAGATAGATAGATAGATAGATAGATAGATAGATTGATAGATAGATAGATAGATAGATAAATAGATAGATAGATAGATAGATAGATAGATAGATAGATAGATAGATAGATAGATAGATAGATAGATAGATAGATAGATAGATAGATAGATAGATAGATAGATATATAGATAGATAGATAGATAGATAGATAGATAGATAGATAGATAGATAGATAGAGATAGATAGATAGATAGATAGATAGATAGATAGATAGATAGATAGATAGATAGATAGATAGATAGATAGATAGATAGATAGATAGATAGATAAGATAGATAGATAGATAGATAGATAGATAGATAGATAGATAGATAGATAGATAGATAGATAGATAGATAGATAGATAGATAGATAGATAGATAGATAGATATAGATAGCTCGCTCGCTCGCTCGCTCGCTCGCTCGCTCGCTCGCTCGCTCGCTCGCTCGCTCGCTCGCTCCGCTCGCTCGCTCGCTCGCTCGCTCGCTCGCTCGCTCGCTCGCTCGCTCTCTCGCTCGCTCGCTCTCTCGCTCGCTCGCTCGCTCGCTCGCTCGCTCGCTCGCTCGCTCGCTCGCTCGCTCGCTCGCTCGCTCGCTCGCTCGCTCGCTCGCTCGCTCGCTCGCTCGCTCGCTCGCTCCTCTCGCTCGCTCGCTCGCTCGCTCGCTCGCTCGCTCGCTCGCTCGCTCGCTCGCTCGCTGCTCGCTCGCTCGCTCGCTCTCTCGCTCGCTCGCTCGCTCGCTCGCTCGCTCGCTCGCTCGCTCGCTCTCTCGCTCGCTCGCTCGCTCGCTCGCTCGCTCGCTCGCTCGCTCGCTCGCTCGCTCGCTCGCTCCTGCTGCTCGCTCCTCGCTCGCTCGCTCTCTCGCTCGCTCGCTCGCTCGCTCGCTCGCTCGCTCGCTCTAGATAGTATAGATTGATAGTAGATAGTAGATTCAGCTGGTAGATAGAGCTCGCTTAGCGATGTAGTCGTAGCATAGATAGATGATAGATAGATAGATCGTGATAGATAGATAGATAGATAGATTAATAGATAGATTCGATAGTTAGTAGATAATAGATAGATAGATAGATAGATGATGATAGTAGATAGTGATTGTAGATGATAGATAGTAGCTGATAGATAGATGATGCTCGTAGATACGATCGATAGATAGATAGATAGATAGCTAGATATGTAGATAGATAGATAGATAGAGATAAGAGATTTTTTTCATTTTCCATATATTGTAACAGAACTGGCTTTCTGAAATCCATTAGAATGCCTGAATTTAAGCATTATAACGAAGACCACGGAAAACATTTGGGCATTTGGTCAACTTGATGGTATGACATGATGATTTGTTTGTAAATAACTGTGATGTTTTTTTTTCATATTATAAATAACAAATAAAAATTACAATAATATTTAATTTATACTTACAATTGTACAACAAATTTTATTAGTAAAATTATGTAATAATTATTCTCTTAACTTGAGTACGATAATAAATTATTACAGTGATAAATACTTAATTAAGTGTTTTCAACTTTTACTTGATTTGTCATATCTTTAACAATTACTCGTTATGTTTTCCAAGATAAAAACACAGACATATGTATATACATATGTATATACAATATTTGTTAGCAATACATAAATATAAACATTTATATTGGAATGATCATTCTTGCATAAAAAGCCAATCACTTATAAATTAATTACACCACCACCATTCACATCTAAGTGTAGACCAATGACCAATAACTGTTGCAAACGATTTGAGTACAAGAAACTATGCACATACATATGTTCATATGTACGTAAGTATTTTATTATGGCCAATAAACTCCAATAAAATTCCCTAAAAAATCGGCTAACTCTATATATAAAAATATGGTCAATATTGCAATAATGTTTTTATTTTCTACATATTTAACATATGTGCCTATGTATGTATATGTAAGGAGGTTAGTTTTTTATAAATAAATTTTGAAAATATACAAATAAAAACTAAAACAAAATTAAGCCAGAAACCCCTTCTCAAAATTATAAACTTCTCATATGTTTCTTTTTGCACTATTTTTTTTTTAAGTAAAACTTTACTGTATGAACAATAAATAGAGTGCGAATATGTGTTGTTTTAAAACAAAACAAAAAAAGAAACGATTTTAAAATAGTTTATTTATTTTTGAATGCATTTTGTTTTTGGAATTTGTTTAGTAGTTGTTGTTTTTTGTTTGTGTTTGCAGCGCTTCATTTGTGAATGTTGTAAAATATAAAAAAATGTTGCTGTTTCTCTTTGCATTCAATACAATTGTGTTGAACGTACGTATGTATATGAGTGCTTTTGTTGCTGTTGCTTCTGCTGCTGCAACTATTGTTGCCTGTATGTATGCCTGTTTGTTTGCATGTCCGTCCGTCCGTTCGTTCGTCTGCTGGCTGACTACTCTATGATGTTTGCTGGCTTTATGGATAAACCAAACAATTTCTTCCTAAATATATAAAAGCAACAAATTTTCATTGCAACAATATTATTCCGTGGTGGAAATTCATTTGGTTAACAACGTTTCTTTCAATACGTTTCGAAAAGATCAGCTTTAAGACAGTGATCTCTAAAGTTAAATAATTTGTGTTATTTTTATATAGAAATAAAATAAACCAATTTATAAAATTAAAAATGGCCCTTAAGGTGAGCCTTAAAGGATATACTAAGCAAACAAATAAAAAAAAGAAAAATTAAAAACAAATTATATAAAAGGAACTAAAAAAATAAAGTGTTTTAAATATACCAAAATAACAAAAATTAAAAAAAATCACAAAAAAGTGAAATATAATATGAGAAGAAACAAGAATCTCAAGAAAAAACTTTGTGAAAAATTAACAAAAAAAAAAAAAAAAAATTATTTAAAAACTTGAAACAACATTAATTTAGTTATGCCTAAAAATTTAAATATATTAAAAGCAATTTAAAATAATTTGTGATAAATTAAAATTCTTTAAAAATTAAACCAAAAATCGTTTTAAAAAATTATAATATTTATCGTTTTCGTTTAGTTTGTTATCTTCGCCTCGGCTTTGTGTTTAACATTGGCTTATCCTTTGGATCATCAATATTATGAAAGCGAAGGCCATGGTCATGGCTATGAAACGGAATTAGCCCATGATTATGGTCATGGTCATCAACTCGAACGTGTATCATTGGGCGAAGATCACAGCAGCTACGGCCATGAAGAACATCATGAAGATGAACATGTTGACTATTATGTAAGTGTGTGTGATTTTATTTTTTTTGGAAAAATAACCTTTCCAAGTTGTATTGATTATTTCAAAAGGAATGTTATGATGATGATTTTTAATATGTGTTTGTTTTTGTTGTGTGTGTCTTTTTTATAGGCTCCACCAAAATATGCTTTCAAATATGGTGTCAACGATTTCCATACCGGTGATGTGAAATCTCAACATGAAACTCGTGATGGTGATAGTGTAAAGGGTAAGTTTTTAAAGTTTCAAAAGAGAGAGTGAGTGTAATAGGAAAAGAAAGTTACTAATTAAAAGTTTTGGAAAAAAATTAATTAAAAAATAAAAAAGTTTATTTTTGGGACTCGAACCCATGGTCACCAAGTTTGTAGATTTTACGCAATCACAACTAGTATGATGGAGCGCCCAACTAAATATTGATTTTTGAATTACAAATTTAAGTTAGATTAAAATAATCTCTTAAGGTGCACATATAAAATATTTGGGATAAAACATATTAACCAGAACAATAAAATTTGGTTATTGTGATTAAATCAATGGTTTGGCGGTTTATTTGTCGCGTATACGTGAAAGAGTTATAGAGCGTAATTTTGAGTTCCAGAACAATAAAATTTGGTTATTGTGATTAAATCAATGGTTTGGCGGTTTATTTGTCGCGTATGCGTGAAAGAGTTATAGAGCGTAATTTTGAGTTTACAGGTACAGTAAATGGTCATTTCCAAAGAAAGCTAAGTTAGTTTTTAGAATTTGATGTCACTACATGTTAAAATGGATAATATCCTGCGATATCCTTCGAAAACACTTTTTCCATTTTTCATAAAAAGTGTTGAATATACATCAAAATAAAGTGTGTAGTGAAGTTATATCCACAAAGAGTTCAGCGTTTTAGTTTTGTGCGTGAAAGGGATAAGATCTTGGTTAGCTTGAGATAATGCTCTTTTTATATTAAGACATACAAGTGAATAGGAGGAGTTACCTTAGTTGTCTATACATTTATTTAAGCGAGAAAGTCGCTGTGTGACGTTTCGTAGAAAACTAGTTTTTCTTGGAAATTGTAACATATGTATATGATTCATTATTGTCAAGTTATTAAATTTATATGAAAACTTTAAACATTTTAAGGTCTTCGGGAACTTCTATTAGTACTTAATTGAACAGGAATATCAATTTCATATCGATTAATAATCGTTGTGGATAAAACTTTTTATTCAGACACTTAATATTAAAAATGTGTCTATAATAAGAGATTTACGGTGAAAATGTCCATATTTAAAAAAAAAATTATTTTCTTTTCTATTTTGTTGCCTACATCATACCGAACCGATATACGTTTAAAGTAGAGTTTTATTGAAAATTTCATCAAAATTCACAATAACATGTAAACTTTCACGTATTTCAAACATATTTATGTTTAATACTTTCTTAAAATATACAAAGTTATTTAACAAAAGTCAAATAAGTTTGAAATTTAAAAAGTCCATTGCAAATATTAAATTAAATACAAAAATAAACAAAAAACTCTATTTGCCTTAAATTAGACATAAATAAATCAATTCATACCGCATCCAACACATTAAAAACTAAAGGTTGTTGTTAAATTTTAATTACAATTTTTAACTGCCAGAAAAGCAACCATACTACATACACTTACAACAAAGCCCACATAACACCATTGCAACATGTTTCTTCTTTTAGTTTTCTTTTGGTTTCTGTAAAACAATTACTTGTTGGTAAAATTTGTACAACTTGTTTGGTAATTATCAAATTTCTGTTGTAAAACTTTGTTATTATTATAGTTATTAAATTTAATAATATTTACAATAACAAATTGTAACATTATTTTATGTTTTATTAGCAAATAAATAATAAACCATAATAAATATAATTTTGTTATAATAATTGTCTTTCTTTTTCTTTAGGTCAATACTCTTTGGTTGAACCTGATGGTTCTATTCGTACCGTAGACTACACAGCCGACAAACACAATGGCTTCAATGCTGTTGTACACAAAACTGCTCCCGTCCACCATCACGAAGAACATCAGGAACATCATTATTAAATATAAATTACTTAAGAATTAATATAGAAACAACAACAAACAGAGATAAACCTTAACCCAAATAATTAACTTCTCTACAACCTGATTATGCCCTTTTTTTTAGAAATGAAAAAAAAAAACGAAATGTAAAGTAATTTAAATTTAAATTGTTAATGGCATTTCAGACCATTTATATTGCAAAGAATAATTAGCCAAATTGTTAATAATTTTTAGAAATTTAGAAAAAATGAAAGTAAAAAAACTTCAAGGCCAAAAAGAAAGTCAATTTTAATGTGCAACTATAGAAAAACGCGATGCTCCTTTCCTCATGTGTCAACTTAAACTTGTCTTTTTTATGTAATTTAGTAAACTTTTTTTTTTTGTTTAAATGTATGTGTATTAATTTATGTTTAAATGTTTTGAATTGTTTTATTTACTTCTGTGATAGCATTACACTGGCTAATTAAACTAAACTAATCTAATCTAATCTATTCTATCAAATTACCTTTTTACTTAATAAGTCTGTTGTTACACTTAACTTAAACTATAATACTAATACTCATTCATGCGCAACCTGTGATGTGTTAGCGGCTGAATGAATTTATAATTTAATAATTTTATAACTATAACTAACCAATGACTACTTAATTTTTCTTTCACTTTTTTGTGTTTAATAGACTGTATGGTACATATACTCAGTTAAAGTGAATAATAGAAAACGAAATTTCAACTACATGTATTCCTCCTTAACTCTTGTGTTTTGTATTTTTTTATGTTTTTTATTTTGTTGAAAACTGTGTAATATTATGTACGTTGTAGTTAATTATTGTTTTTTATTTTTCACACTCATAACTTTTACTAACCCAATTTTTGACTTGTTACAACAAAAAGCAATCTATTGTATAATTTTTTTCATTTTTGTTTTTCATTTATTCATTCAAAAGCATTGCAATTGAAATTGATATTTTCCTATTATAATAAATGTGTAAAAAAAGAATTTATAAAAAATATAAATGATGAAATGTGTATTAATATTTATTGTTTCTGATTGAAAATCAAACAGCTATGGATAGATGAAAAATTCAACAAATATAAAGCCATTTGTATAAAACATAAACAAAAGACTTAAGAAACATACGTGTTAGTTTTTATTGCAAAGAATTTGTAAAAATAAAGACAGAGTGAAGTGGAAAATAAAATATAAAGCATACGAATTGAGATGTAAGAAGCAAAGTAATATTTTTCGTAAATTTTTATTTAAAAGGAATTTTAGACTTTTATAAATGTTTAAATATTGTGATTAAAAAAACTATTTTCCCAAGAAAATAACAAAAATTTTACTCTTACATTTTTTATTAAAAACTGGATAATGTATTAAAGATCTATTTAGGTAGAACAATTAGTTGTAAAGAATATGGAATAACTTTTCACTTCGAAAATTTTGCATGGGAAATACAGTTTAAAAAGTCCTTTCGAGCAAACGGATTTTAGTCATTGTCTATGAAGATGCAATGTTTCATGTTGTCACTATATTAGTAATATATAGATCACTAAATCTCAATTTATTAGCTCTAGAAGTTATTGTTAACTGTAAGCTGTCTTTTCATCTTAATGAAATACATATAAAATTTGGTATGAATCAACGTTTATTTAAAAATAGTTAAATATGTATTTTTAAAAATAAATTAAAAGTTATTGATTAATATTTAATATTTTTATGAATTACTTAGTGATTCAGTACGTGTGTGGCCATATAAAAATATTTATAATTAAAGCCTAATTAACCGGCGTTAATAATTTTTTATATGGAGTTAAGTTACTTATTTGGAAAGATTTTTCACAGCTAGAAAGAGGGAGACAAAATAATAGTAAATTGTAAAATTGTTTTCATAAAAATATAACACAAGTTTACAAACAACCTTTAATATCAAAACAACCTGGATAACGTCCAATTAATGGAAAAGCCTTAATAAAACGAACATTCAAGTTTAATAAAATTTATATTTTTTTAAATTTCACACTTGTTTTTTTAACCTTTTGGAAAAAGTTTTTCCATTGAACAAGAGCCAAGTTGTTCAATAAATTACCAAAAACATTTAGTTGGCAAAGATTTGCGAAATGGTTATTGAACTTAAACTTAAAACAATAACAACACCCAAAATACACTCATACAACACATGTTCGCACAAATGCTGTTTGCAGTATTTTGACCAAAAAAAATAATAATAATAATAAATAAATAAATTTCAACAAGCACACACACGCATAGAAAATTCAAAACTTGTTACCAAAGTTGCCCATTTAAAAACACGTAAATAAAGTTGAAAAAATATATGCTGCTTTTCATTTTCATTTAATAAAAAAGAAAAAACAAACATTCACCCAAACACCGGAAATAAATACAAGAAAAAATTAAAATGTTTATATTTTTAAAACCAAAACGAAATGTATGGCATGTGCGGTGGATCTTATTTTAATTGTTTACGCTCATCGTTTAAATGTTTTCGTTTAAAACTTCATCAGTTTTGTTTATGACTTTGAAGCAACATTCATTTTTGCAAACAAATGTTAAGTGCAGCGAAAAACAAAAGACTTCAGCAACAAACGTTTATTTGTTTCGTAAGCCTTAAGTTATGCTATAGATTTTTGTTATAATTGTGTATATTTTTAAGTACTAAAGATATGTTGTGATATTTTTTAAGTTAAAAGTTAACATAAATAAAATCCCAATAGGAAAAATGAGAAAAAATTAAATATGTATTAGAAAACGAAACGACAAACGTTAAAAAAAAATTTTGGCAAAAATATTGAAATTTTTTCAAATGTTCGAGTTTCTCTTTTTTGTTTCGAAAGGTTTCTTTTTTTAAAACGAGGGTACAAATTTTTTACTTTTTTCTAATAAGACATTTAAAAAATTAATTACCTACTCTCAAAATCTGTTTTAAATCTCAAGGAAAATCGTTGTTTTAACATGTACTTATGTTTGAAATATGTAACTAAAAATTGTTTCCTACATAAGTAAATACATATGTACATATATTTACAAACCAACTGTCAAAATAAACATTAATCCAACAGTTAACAGGGCGTGTAGACTATTTGTCAAAATATTGTATACAAATCTTACAATTACATGATTGAACACAAATATTTACAATTTCAAAAACCACATGATGTTTCAATGTCAGTGCATTAAAAAAATAATTATTTTTTTTCACCTCTTCTTTCTAAAATCTATAATTAAGTCTTGATTATTGATCTTAATTTAGTTTTTTGAATTGCAATGAAACGTAAATGGAATTAGAAAGGTTACTCATACGCCCTCGAATCAATAATGAAAAGAAATAAGTAATTATTTGGTATTACTCATGTTACAATTACCTAAATTAAATTACTCTCAAACAATTCAAAAAGTAACTAATACATGGCAAATAGCCAATAGCCTATTGACATTTGGAAAATTGCACTAAATAAGTACTTTTAATTTCAGAAAATTAGTGGGTGTTGTTACTAACGCCTTAACAATTTGCAAAATTTTCTATAAAGACAACATATAACAAAAGCGACTACAATAGCAACAGCAGCAGCGGCGTTAAGTAGTCATTACAGGATATAAAATATCATGACATGACAAATAACATGAGTGTGAAAAAGTTTCTCACTCGACGTTTACCACCACAATCACTAGCACCATGAAACAAAACTAAGATTATAATCAAGACATAAATAGAAAAAAACTACAAAAACCTTTACAAACATTTAACAAATAATTACAAGCAACCAAAACTCATGTTAAGTTGCTAAAAATATTAGTCATATTTAAACAATTTTGTCTGTTGTTGAAAAAACACAAAAAAGTTCTAACAGTAAAACATTTGTTTCAATCCAAATGAGGGGGAACACGTTTTAGTTTGAACTTTTTATTTTTTGCTAAATCCTAAACGTGCACTATTTTTTAACTGATTGCTATAGTATTTTTTTCTGCAACTAAGACGAATTTATTGGGGGCTATCGACAATTTAAAATTAATCTATGTTTATTAGTTCTAGTTCAGTTCTAGTTCAGTTCTAGTTCGGTTCTAGTTCAGTTCTAGTTCAGTTCTAGTTCAGTTCTAGTTCAGTTCTAGTTCAGTTCTAGTTCAGTTCTAGTTCAGTTCTAGTTCAGTTCTAGTTCAGTTCTAGTTCAGTTCTAGTTCAGTTCTAGTTCAGTTCTAGTTCAGTTCTAGTTCAGTTCTAGTTCAGTTCTAGTTCAGTTCTAGTTCAGTTCTAGTTCAGTTCTAGTTCAGTTCTAGTTCAGTTCTAGTTCAGTTCTAGTTCAGTTCTAGTTCAGTTCTAGTTCAGTTCTAGTTCAGTTCTAGTTCAGTTCTAGTTCAGTTCTAGTTCAGTTCTAGTTCAGTTCTAGTTCAGTTCTAGTTCAGTTCTAGTTCAGTTCTAGTTCTAGTTCAGTTCTAGTTCAGTTCTAGTTCAGTTCTAGTTCAGTTCTAGTTCAGTTCTAGTTCAGTTCTAGTTCAGTTCTAGTTCAGTTCTAGTTCAGTTCTAGTTCAGTTCTAGTTCAGTTCTAGTTCAGTTCTAGTTCAGTTCTAGTTCAGTTCTAGTTCAGTTCTAGTTCAGTTCTAGTTCAGTTCTAGTTCAGTTCTAGTTCAGTTCTAGTTCAGTTCTAGTTCAGTTCTAGTTCAGTTCTAGTTCAGTTCTAGTTCAGTTCTAGTTCAGTTCTAGTTCATCTAGATTATGTTGAGCTAAGATGTGTATATTCGCTATTGCCGTGCTTATGTATATGAAAATTCATATACTATACACAGAGGGAAAAGGAAATATACACGCCTGGTACCAAATTGACACCAAATAGTTTATAATTTTTTAATAACATCCGTTGTCAAAGTATATACATACGTACGACGACACTATGTAATGTTGACAATGCAACGTTGTCAATATTGCAACAATTCGTTGTCGAAATCTAAATTTTATACACATCCGTTGTCTAAATGTTAATAAACGTGTTAAGCTCACTATTGGCAACGGATTGTTTGTCAATAGTGAGCTTACCACGTTTGTTTACATTTAGACAACGAATGTGTATAAAATTTAGATTTCGACAACGAATTGTTGCAATGTTGTCAACATAACATAGTGTTGTCGTA